GAGTTTGCCATTATTAACTTGTGACATATTAACATTTGGCTCATTTTCAAATCTATTTGAAATTATTACAAACTAACACGTTTCAACGTTCTGCATTTTTAGATCTATTACTATGCATGCATACTATAAAATTCAATTTTGTCTGGATCGTCTTTCTTCCTGCATGTTGGTAATGCATGCTCAATAACCTTCTTATGGGAAAATTTTTTCAGCCTGCTGCAGTGCATCGCCTACATCGCAAATTGTACTGGTTCTGATAATTTATTATACAAGCAAGTGTTTACTTTTCATACGTCACCGTTGGACCATTCTGTTGTTATCAGGCTATGAAAAAAGGCCCGCTTCAAATATCTATTCCAAGAAAATAGTCATAGTAGAAAATCTCTATGAACAAACAACTATTATAGAGAACATGACGAATTTGGGTTAGTAGTAAATACAATCGCAATGTCAACTGACATTAACATATGATATTTCATAGTGGTCTAACGCATAAATGGCACATTAAGGGTTGTTGACCAATAGAGTGATTCCCACATCGTTTATCTATCGATACTGTAAGACGCCTTTTTTTGTTATCAATGAGGTTAATATTGTATTACAAAATGATTATCACGAGAATGATCACTAATCCGTCATATGATTGGCAAGCACAAAAAGTTTTGATTCGAAAAAAAAAATACTCTGGAAGATGATTCAGTTGAAGACTGTACTGAATGTAATTGATAATTCTGGAGCTTTACTTGCTGAATGTATTCGCGTTGGACACGGTGGTAGATATGGGAGAATAGGTAGTATATCTGTCGAGTCAGTTTATTTGTTTATTAAACATTAGATGATTTATTTTATTCATTATATTTTGTCTCGAAATCCTTTAAACTCACACGCACAGGTGATTCAATGACAGTAGTGATACGTAAAGCTCGCCCGATTCCACAGAACGTCAGCGGTCCTCAAGCCTCATCATCTTCACTTCTTGCAGCAAAGATTGCAATTAGGAAAGGCGAAGTTAGAAAAGCTCTAATCGTTCGAGTAGCGAAAGAAATGCGAAGACCGGATGGTAGATATATCAAATTCGACGATAATGCCTGCGTCTTATTGAATAATCGGGGAGAGCCTTTGGGGACCAGAGTTCTGGGGGTTGTTGGGGCTGAGTTGAGAGGAAAGAAATGGGGGAAAATTGTTAGTTTAGCACCCAAGGTTGTTTGAATAGATTCGCTCGATGATGAAGGAATGTATGATTGATGATGAATCGTACGATCGGTTCTGATAGTGTAATATTGTATGAATAGTTGAATGAATGGCGTTGATTTTCATACATATGATATACACTTGGATTTTATTTATCGCTAGCTTTCCAATCCTTTACTACATTCATCCAATTGATCGATAAAATGAATATTCCCGTTTCTTTTGAGGCAAGAGCTAACACAGCAACGAATCCAAATAATTCTGTAACGAAAAAAAAACAAAAATTATCAACCCACCGCTGTATTATTTGACCGTAAAGCTTTCCAGATCCTCGACTGCTTTGTCCAAATCCGACATTAGTTTTTCGATAGATACAATATCATTCTTTTTCTTTAGATCATAGTCTTTCTCGTTCTTGTGTTCCTTTCTGTCAAGCTTCATCATCGCCTCCTGATCTACAAAAAGCTCCCCCACCACTGCATCCAAGTGAGTGCAAAGAGCTTCGTTCTTATGTTTGTTACGATTTAATTGTTTTACAGATAGTTTTTGTTTGGTCTTCATATATGGCATGATACTTGGGAATAAAATGAGAGATGGCATGGTTTGAGAGCGTTTGTGTTTTCTCTGAGGTGGCATTGTCGTTAGAGTTTTTTGCAGAAAGTTGAAAAGTTTTCCCAATAGACAAATGTCTGTGGATAGCCAATATAAGTAGAATAAACTATTATTTCAAGATAAAGAATAATGAAATCAAAATGGACCTTCTTTTTTCGATAATCCAGATTTAGATTTGAATGAGAGAGCAAAGAAATTTTTTTATCCTCGCATTAACCTTTTTGGCATTCCATATCCTTTCCAAAAAAAGTCAAGAAAAATTTGCGTTGCACGACAACCATTATACTAGCACATGCGCATGAGCATGATTGTACCTGCATTCGGCATTGATCGCACCTGCCATTCGGATATTTTGTGCAAATGTTTTTTACTCAGAATTTCTCCTTCCTTTCCCTTTATTTTTTTGAGGCCTGCTCATCACCATGACTCCACCTGTTGCCACGACCACCGAAGTCTATGCCAAGGACTTGGCCTTCTCAAAGGCATTGCATGGCGAACGAGTAATCGATTCTGAGATAGGCTTAATCAGGAAAATTGCTTCAAAGGACCATGAAGCACATGAAGCGGTCGTCAAGTCATATACGAGTTATTGGAAAACCGACGACCCACAGACTGAAACTGAGGATGAGAGAAATGCTAGGTCTTCAGAAGCTGCTACCTTAACCAATACTTATTATAATATTGCTACTGACTTCTACGAGGTTTGTCAAAATAAAAACTTCTTGAAACTGGTATCGTCACGAGGGTTGCAGGGGTTAATTAAAGCTATTACATTAATAAATTTATAGTATGGCTGGGGAAATTGCTTCCATTTCTGTCGTTTCTACCCTGGTGAAACTTTCTATCAATCTATTGCTCGTCATGAACATTATCTTGCGATGTATTTGAATGTTAGGCCAGGCATGAAAGTGTTGGACATTGGTTGTGGAGTCGGTATGTTCACTGCTAGTAATGTCATTTTATCCTAGTCATTTGACTACAACTGACGTATAACAATAGGTGGACCGACTCGCGAGATTAGTCGCTTCACTGGAGCTCACGTCACCGGTTTGAATAACAATGACTATCAAATTGCTCGGGCCAGGTATTACGCGGCAAATGCCGGTTTGGCGGGTAAAACAGAGTTTGTCAAGGGCAGTTTCCTGGAAATTCCCTTTGAAGAGAACTCTTTCGACCGTGTCTACGCGATTGAAGCCACCTGCCATTCTCCAAAGTTGGAAAGTGTTTATAAAGAGGCTTTTCGTGTTTTGAAGCCTGGAGGTCTTTTCGCGTTTTATGAGTGGTGTACGACAGACAGATATGATCCTACAAACCCCGAGCATGCGAAAATCATTCGCGGCATTGAGGTATGACTTGTTCTTTGTTTGTTTTGAACGTATTCATGGATGCTAATCTTGATCGTATGAATAGATTGGAGACGGTATATCGCAATTATACTCAACACGTGAAGCCGTTCAAGCGCTCAAGAATGCCGGTTTCGAACTTGAATACGAAGATGATCTCGCCGAAATTGACGATGTTGTGCCTTGGTATTATCCTCTGACTGGGGACTTTAGAAGATCGCAATCTATTTGGGATTTCTTCACATTCTTCCGTTTGACTGTAGTTGGCAAGATGCTAACCAGAGCTTTGGTAGGTATCCAACGAATCAATCATAATTATCTTGTCCTATACAGTACTAAGCAATACTACCCATCTGTAAATAGGTCGGTGGTCTTGAGAAAGTTGGTGCTGCACCAGCTGGTTCTGTAGAAGTTCAAAAATTACTTGAACTTGCAGGAGATAGTCTTGCTAAAGGTGGCGAGACAAAGATCTTTACGCCAATGTACTTGTTAGTGGGACGCAAACCTTTGAAGTCTTAGAAAGAGAACTCACTTAATTGATAAAAATTAATTTAATGTTACTACTTGTTAATAAGAATAATAAGAAATAAGGTCAAACAATATTTAAGATCGACTGTGACAAAGCAGCCGTTTTAGAATTAGCCCTGGTTTGTCGAAATACAAAGGATAAGTTGAATAACTTTCTGTACTGTACCAGACAATCAGACCGATTACATAAATTAAACCAAAAGAAAGATCTCAAATTATATTCAGATGTATAACGGGAGGTAAAATTGACCATATTAGTGTCGGATGATGCAAACGAGATGTCTGAGACTCTGTTAATTGGATAGATCGGAATTAATGTTTGGTCGTGTAAGTAACATATTCCTCCAAATTTGTCTAAATTTTTCGCATGTGGGCTACACGCGTGATGGTTGATAATCTGTAAAGTACATTTAAGTGGCTGGGGGATGCAT